GCGCGCTCTCGTGCCAGCGGTGGCTTCGCCGTGGCTCATCCACCGGCAATCTTCTTCACTCCTATTTACTCAGCTCCAGTGCACTAGTCCACCTGGACTACCTACCGTTAGTCCAACTGGCTACCGACCGTTAGTCCACCTGACTACCTACCGTTAGTCCAACTGGCTACCGACCTCCTCGGCTTGCCTAGCCCATAGCCCTACTCTCATCGGTAACTGACATTCTACAACAAACTGTGACAGGAGTAAAGGGCAGAGGACCGACTCAGTGTCAGACACCGACGTATGACAAAACAACATCCATAAAAGGACAGTGAAATAGTCACCACATAAAAACCTTGCCTGCTAAAATGTGTTCCCCGAGATAACGTGTCAATAATTGTGTTCGTTTCTATACCCACTGCACCACAGCATCAAATTGCACGCTAAAATGGACTAACGTTGGCCAGACGTAGTCCATACATTCACAAATGAGACAGCTCCAGAAAGCTCTAGAAAAAAGGCAACGTGCCGTTGACAACGTTATCGAATAAATGGGTTTACCTGGGAGGATGACAGCGTGTTGTGTTCGATTCCTTCTTATTATAAGCCTGTGTAATTTACCCTTTTGTGCAGCAGTGGCTTCTTTTCATGTAGCCTTTCTCACCAACACAGCAGCGTTCCTCTGTCAGAAAACCGTCGGAGTGGAGACTGGAGCGCGAAACCGGGTTCGTTCTGGTTGTAGACTACGGTAGGGCGCGCGACATCCACCCGCCTCTGGAAGACCGTGATTGGAGCAAAGCGCGTGATCTCAACCAGGTACCGTGGGACCGTATAGATAACGTTACGCACGGGCAACGAACTGTCAACAACCACTGGCTGGTGTTAAATATTTTTTTTCTGAGTAGGAGTGATTTGCAAATTGTTTTGTAAGCTAAATCAGCACTTGTTTATGCGCCGAACTGGCCATGTGCTGAAGGTGCTATGTTGACATCAGAGGTGAGATGCACATTGGCGGGAAAGGTCAAGGGATGGCGGGAAAGGTCAAGGGATGGCGGGAGATCTTGATCTCTAGGCTGAATAAATATTAATTTTTCACATTTACATTTTAGTCATTTAGCAGATGCTCTTATCCAGAGCGACTTACAGTTAGTGAGTGCATACATTTTCATACTGCCCCCCCCCCCCCCCCTTGTTAAGTGCTTTGCTTAAGTGCATGGTTACCCAAACATGGTCCTAGGGCCCACCCTTGGTGCATGTTTAATTTCTTTCCCTAGCATTGGGGTCGGCAGGTAGCTTAGTGGGTAAGAGCGTTGTGCCAGTAACCGAAAGGTTGCTGGTTCTAATCCCCGAGCCAACTAGGTGAAAAATCTGTCGATGTGCCCTTAAGCAAGGCACTTAACCCTAATTGCTCCTGTAAGTCGCTCTGGATAAGAGCGTCTGCTAAATGACTAAAATGTAAATGTAAAAATTACACACCTGATTAAACTAATCACATCTTGATGATGAGTTGGTTCTTTGAATCAGCTGTGTAGTGCTAGGGCAAAAACCAAAACGTGCACCTAGGGGGGGCCCAGGACCTAGGGGGGGCCCAGGACTGAGTTTGGGAAACCCTGCTCAAGGGCACATTGACAGATTTTTCACCCAGTCGGCTCGGGGATTCAAACCAGCGACCTTACAGATACTGGGCCAAAGCTCTTAACCGCTAGGCTACCAACTAGGACCTGCCATATGTCATGGTAATCAATAATATTCCAGAGTTACCCAATTAAAATATTGCTTACGCTTTATCACATTGTCTTTGGAATGTAGGGTATGAACTTTACTCACTGTTGTTTTTTAAATAGTAGGCTATGCTCAGATGGAGCTCAGATGTCATCATTTTAACATTACAGTGAACATTCTCATGATTGTTTGTGCTTCACCTGCTGATAACCCTTCTAAATAGAATGTCTGTAGAGGTGGGAGAGGGTCAGGGGAGAGGTCCTCTCACTGGATAACCTGGGCAGAGGAAACCAAACATGACAGACTTCCTAACTGTCATGCATTGGGTTCATGTGGGGACTCTGTCTGTACTGGTCAGTCATTCAACAGCTTGCCCTTCCCTTAGGCTCCTGGTGGCGTTCGCTTGGCATTTACTAGCTCAGTCTTTTTCCCTTCTTTTTTCAAGCTCTGTTCTCTTTTGCTATGTTTTTTTGCAGGTTGCCATGACATATTTGGGGACTCATTTTAGAATGCCCCACACATCCGCCTACGGGGATGGATACGCTCTCGATCATAGGAGCATCTAAGGAGTATCTCTTCATAACTCCCCCCCCCCCAAAAAAAAAATTATTAACTCACAAATATGCCTGTTCTAATATCCACCCACGGATAAGGTCAGTACCTGCTCATAGGGTGCGTCCCAAATAGCACTCTGTTCCGTATACTGTATTGTGCATCATTTGGGCCCTAGTTAAAAGTAGCGCAACAATTTGGTACACAAATCCTAATGTTGCTCATTCCCTGTCATGAGCAATATGCCACCTACCTACAATACCAAATATACACAATAACAGCACCGGCTACATTAATACAAACTAAAACAGTACCTACATTGTCCTTCGTACACAAGCTACTACAAATACATTTGATTACAAACAAAAGCTCATATAAACTATCATTTCAGAAAGGTGAACTGATCTCAAATTGAACGAGAGAATGCGCATGAGTTGATGAGAGTAATTGCTTTGTGCTCGGTTACCTAATTCCCCATACCTTCTATTGCTGCCAGGCTGGATTCTGAGGTCCAGGTGCATGAAAGTAGGGCACGCTCTGTCTGGGTGTGTGTGTGTGGGTGTGTGTGTGTGTGTGTGGGTGTGTGTGTGTGTGTGTGTGTGTGTGTGTGTGGGTGTGTGTGTGTGGGGGGGGTGGAATGCGTGTTTTGGTGAAAGGACGCATGTAAGTAAGCAGAAAAGGTATGAAATATTTAAAACAAACACCCAAAACAATATTCCTTCCCATAAGCACTAGTTCCTGGTTGCTACTCCTTGACACTCCGTCATCTGCAAATGATGCACACAGACGTATCCAAAACACCATACGCGTGTACATACACATTACACACACAAGCATGCAGACGCTAACAGACAACCCCACGCTCAACCAGACACTGACTGTGCATGTGCATGTGGGAGACCCCCCCCACCCCCCCACCCCCCCACCCTATAGCTAGATATACTAGCTCCCCAGAACCGGCTGGCTGCCAGTGGCTCTAATACGAAGAGGGGAGCTACAGCAGTTGGCTACTCCATGGTGTGCATCCAAAACACATTTGAGCTTAGTAGCAATAGCAGTTTAATACAGTTTAATTTAATTTTTTTATCATGTGCTCTTTAATGATTAACCCACCACCACCCGTGCTTCATAGGCAACATCAGTGTGGGGTACATCAAGGAAATAACCCTCCTCTCTCTAGACCTTCTGTTTTAAGAAATGCCTCGATTTCCATGCAGTCTTTAACATTAATATTGTTTGACTGACACGGTGAGACTAAAGGATGAAAACTAGTTTATGTATAAAAAAATATAATTTATTTAATTGGAAATAGACAAAAGTGCAACAAATAGGAACTCACTTGTATCTTGGCCAGGTGGTTACAGTGAAAAACAAGTATGATACAATATAATACAACAACAACCTACAACATGGTGTTATTAAACAACAACAACCTACAACATGGTGTTATTAAACAACAACAACCTACAACATGGTGTTATTCATTAAAC